TGGGAAAGAATGGATATGACTCAAAAAATGTAACATCGGTAGAGACATATAATTTTCTCTTTACAAGACAGTAGCATTGATAGCCTTTTTGTGTGGGAGAATATCCAAGGAATATACATTTAATGGCCCTAGGGTCTAGCTTTCCTCTATTAGGAGACATAATATGTACAAAAGCAATACATCCAAACACCTTTAAGGGTAAAGTATTTAGGATCCTACAACTAGGAAAGGTCTTCAGCAAAGTCTCAAGAGGTGTATGAAAATCCATAATTCTTTATCAAATATGCAGCTGTTAAAATCGCATGACTCCAAAAATATTTAGGTACATTCATGGTAAACATTAAGGCTCTAGCTACCTCTAATAGGTGTCTATTCTTTCTTTCAGCTATCTCATTTTGTTGTGGGGTATTAACGCAAGAGCTTTGATGTACAATCCCGTGATGTAACAGGTAGTTTCCTAGGATAGAGTGAAAATATTCCTTACCATTATCAGTCCGTGAAACCTAGATTTTTTTCCTCAAAACTAAGTTTCAACCATTGAATGAAATTTTTTTGAACAATTGACTTGCTTCAGACTTGTTTTTCATCAGGTATACCCAACATACTCTAGTGTGATCATCAATAAACATAATGAACCACTTAAACACTACAATATTTGTAACTCTAGATGGCCCCCAAATATCACTATGAATTATTGAAAAAGGCCTAGAACTCTTAAAATTATGAGTTGCATAAATAGACTTGGTGTGTTTTGCAAGTTGACAAGTTTCACACTTAAAAGAAAATGAACTTTTATTTTTGAATAACAATGGGTACAATTTGTGTAAATAAGGAAAGCTAGGGTGTCTTAGTCTACTATGCAATAGCATAATTTCCAAATCAATTGAACTAGAGATAGAATTGCACCTATAAACTATGTCTTTATTTCCATAATTATTCTTAGATTCTGCTTTATCAAAGTAGTAGTCCCCCTCTTGCTCGAGCATTGCCAATCATCCTTCCCGATAGAAAATTCTAAAATTCACAAGAAGTGCAAGAAAACTTAGCTACACAATTTAGTTCTTTAGTCAATTAGCTAATAGACAATAAGTTACAAGTTAACTCTGGCACATGGAGAACTGAAATTAAAGTTAGATTTCTTAAAAGCTTCATTGTGCTTTTACCAACCACCTTTACCATTGAGCCATCAGCTGTTTCCTCAATCGAATTCCCATAACATGGGGTATAAAATATAAAAACATTTGAATTACCTGACATATGATCAGAGGCTCCAAAATCTATTACCCATAGCTTATATGTTTCAAGATCTGCACGTAAGGCTATATGGGAGTTATCTGTTTCAGCAAAAGAACATGAGTGCCCAGCTAGATTAGATTGATTGAGAAGTTCCTGCAGATGCTCCAATTGTTCTCTGTTGAATGGTATAGACTCTTTTCCTTCTGAATTCTGGACAATATTTCTTTCAATTTCAGTAATAAAACATTTCCCTCCAGTTTTATTAGCCTTCTAATTTGTAAACTTTGTTGGCCTACCATGTAATTTTCAGTAGGTCTCCTTAGAGTGCCCTGGTTTATGGCAATACTCACATCATGGTTTCTCTCATTTCCTTCACAATTTTTGATCTCCTGTTGAATTCTTCCAACCCTTAGATGTTAGGGTTGAACCTTCTTACCCAAGTAATAAATTTGAAATACTAGAAGAAGTAGATTCACCCATCATTACTTTCCTCCTACTCTTCTCTCTTCTGCTCTTTGCAAATACCTCTCGAATAGAGGGTAAAGGATCTTTGTCAGAACTCTACCTCGTACTTCATCAAGTTCCTTATTCAGTTCAACCAAGAACTCATTTTTTTTTTTCATTTTCTAACATCTTTCTATTACAACTCCAATCAAACTCCACAAACATGTCCAGTTCTTGCCATAAGTGAGCTAAAATATTGTAGTACTAAGTGACTGACATACCATCCTGTTTGGTCTCCCTCAAGCGTGTTTTTAACTCAAAAACTTGTCCTGAGTTCCCCAGGTCTAAATATGTCTCTTTTGCCATCTCCCAAATGTCCTTCGCAGTGGGAAGAAATAAGAACAGCTGTCCAAACTCCTCTTCCATCAAGTTGATCAACTAAGTCATAACAGTGCCATTCTCAGCATCCCATTTCTTATATGCCAAATCATTTTCTTCTGGAGCTTTAACACTTCCAGTCAAGTAGCCCAACTTTCCTTTCCCTCTTATCATTAATTTCATAGCCTGAGACCACGGTACATAATTTCTACCATTCAATTTATAAACACTAACTTGAATGGAGTTTTGGTCCACATTATTATGACAAGTTAGATGAAGCTGATGCTTGCTGCTTGAGGAGGATTCTGACCTTGAATCCCTTGGAGGATTCCTGCTCCCTAGGGGACTTGGACTTCTCTCCTATCTTTTACCGATCATAGCAGTCTTCACCATTATTAATTTTTCTGGCTAAAGGAACCTAGCTCTGATACCATGAAATCAGGAGAAAACAAATCCTGATAATCTTTTATTTCAAGCATATCTAATTGTATTACAAACTCTCCATTTATATAATTGAACTAAGACCTAAGTAGATAACTCTTAGACTAGAATTAGGACTCTAGATTAATATTATCTACTTTTATTTCAATCTCTTAAATTAGATAAGACTTAGATAACTTCTAAATTGATCATATTCTAGTCTAGAAATCCTATAAGTTTTATTGTGAAGTTTTTGAGTTGAAGAATACAAAGGGAAGAGATGAAAAAAAAAAGTTTTTCAGGGAGAAGTTTTGCTAAATATTACGCTTGCTTTTTCATTGACGTGGGTTCAATTTATACAAAAGGTACACCTAAACTGTTAGAGTAGATGCCCTAGAGCCAATCAATTATTGTAGAATTGACTCTTTGTAATAATGTTCATTAATCAATAAAAGGCATTTTATTTTATATCGCGTAAATCATAATTATTGCAATATGTATTAATATATGTCCTTAGAATGGTAGACCATGACGAGGGTATCAAGTGTTTCAAATCTTAATAGTGAGAACCCTATGAGCACATATGGTTGCCATTCTAGAAACGTCTGTAGCCCTAGTATTAGTCTGAAGTAAGGGCACAGATAATACAGTAAGACTATCATAGTGTTGAACGAACCTGTCGAAAGGTAGTGACTGATCTCACTTGTCAAGGTTGTTTGGTGACAACCTAGTGCAACACATGGGTGATTGCTATAGGCGAATACACTGCAGCAAGTTCACTGGACTGACCCACCAGAGGATTCCATATGGATGGTAATCCTAGTGTCTATGGAACAAATCCTCTAACGAATGGTGGTGCATGTGATCCTTAGACTTGAGATCATCGGAGCGCCTTGTGCACCGATTGGTGCAGTTTGACACTAGCCTAACGCAGTTCTATTCAGAGCTGTCAGTACGGTAGTGATTGGCTGTATCAAGGAGTGTATCAAGACTATGGTGGATAGACAGAAGATTCATCACTCCCGAGTATAGGAGAAGTTATCTCACAGCTCAATTCAGTAAATGACAAAAACACTAAAACTATGGCCACAATGGGATTGAGTTGTTGCTCTATCCAATTTATAATACAGGTCATTGGTCCAGTAACTGAATACACAATATCGAGAGTAATTGAAGGTTGACACTATTTTTATGCCTCGGTCACATAGAGATAACGGATGATGGAAAGATCGAATTGTACGGCAACCATATCGTTGACAGGTAGCTACTTTGCTAAATCCGAATCTATCGGGTGGCCATGATGCCTTGCTAGGGGCCAATCTTGGTCTGTGTATAGTGAGACGATTAATTGGTGTTAATCGCGATACTATACACTACCGATATGATGAGGAGCCTATGGGTCACACACATAGAAGATAATTTAAGACTCAGGAAGTAAGAAGGGTGTTTTCGTCTTTTTAGGCGAAATGGTATTTTGGTAATTTCATAGTGCAATTAAATTTGCCGAGGTCGACGCCTTTATTTAATTTGTTAGAAAAATTAAATAAGTGAAATTACGTTTAAATATGTGTTCGCATATATTTAAATAAGTTATCATTATTGTTAAATTTTAATATATTAAATATATATATTAATTGATTTGAATTGAGATAATGATGAACTAATATTAAAATATCTAATTGGGAGTGTTTGGAAACAAGGGGTGTTTGGGTTGGAGCCCAAGCCTATTCCATGTGGGAATAGGGCAATTAAACTTGACTATATAAACTTAAGTTTAATTGAGAGATGGGTGAATATTTCATTATATCATTTTTCATTTGAAAAGAAAAACCCACAGCCCCAAAACACTCTCTCCCACGCCAGTTTTAGTTTTGATTGAAAAATCAAATACTCTTCATTTCCTTCTTTGTTCTTAAGGCTAAAGAGGATCTAGCAAATCCCTCTTTAGTTCCTTGCAATTATCTTCGTGTGGACTACGTCGGTTCAATCCTATACTTGGGTCGGTAGCAAAATATGTTCAGATACAAAGTTGGAGGAGCCTCCAAACGTGCGTATGATTCCTTAAAACTCTAAACTAATTTCTGCAGATTCTTGTTTTGATATAAACTGTAAATTTGTGCCCTGATCTTGGTTCTATGGAACGATTCGTGTTGTTATTAATTTTTGTTTTCCGCTGCCTCAATGGATCGTTTCCTGACACTAACAATAATTCACCACCACATAATTTTAACCACAGACAAACCTTTCATTTAACTACCCCTTAATTACAGCTGAATACCCTACTGAATACATCAAAAAACATCAACTTAGACATCACAAAATTAGCTCCATTCAACTGCTCCCAAGGCTAGTTGTTGTGCTTCTTGTCTTCGGTTTCTCTGCATCTTCAGTCAACAAACTTCAGCTGATTTTGTTTCTAGCAGAATATCATCAGCTTCAACACTCCTCTTTGATATTTTTGCTAGAAACACCAAGTTTGAACCTTAGTTCTTTAATCTTGGACTTGTTAACTGGTTTTGTCATTATGCAGCCAATTGTTCCTCACTTCTATAATGCATCAGTTTAACTTCTTTAGCTTGCTCAGCTTCCCTCACAGCATGAAACATAATTTTTATGTGCTTAGTTAGACCATGTAAGATAGGATTCTTTGCCATAGCAACAATGGACTGATTAGCATAATAAATTTTAGTAGGATCACATTGGTCCAGCTTCAAATCCTTCAAAAATCTTCTTAGCCAAATGGCTTGATTCACTACAGCAATAGCATATATATTCTACCGTTGTAGATGATTGAGCTATAGTCTCTTGTTTCTTGGACAGCCAACAAAAAGCTCCTAAGTTTAAAGAAAACGCATAACCAGAAGTGTTTCTCATGTCATCAAGAGAACCAGCCCAATCACTGTCTGTATAGCCAACAAGATTGAACTTCTCTGATTTTCTAAACCATATCCCCAGTTTACACTTCCCTTTATATACCTTAGCACCTTTTTAGCTGCTCTAAAATGAATCTCACTTGGTTCATTCATGAATCTGGATAGAAGGCCGGAGGCATACATTAGATCAGGCCTAGTTATTGTCAAATACAACAAGCAACCTACTAGGCTTCTATACATGGACTCATCAACCTTGCTTGCACCATATTCTTTGCATAACTTTTGGTTTTGCACCAAATGTGTGCTCACTAGGTTGCAATTCTTCATGCTGAACTTCTTCAAAATCTCATTTGCATACTTCCTTTGACTCACAAAAATCCCATATGCCAATTGGTTTATCTCCATGCCAAGAAAGTATGTCATTTCCCCTAGATCAGTCATCTCAAATTCACTTTGCATGGCTTGTTTAAACTAATTTGTGGGAAAACACGTGTAATTCTAGGAGTGTTGTGGTGTAGATATTTTTAAATTTAAATTTAGACAGAACCTTGTATATAGGAGTTATCCTAGGAGTTAGGTGTGTGACTAATATTCTGATTTCAAATCTAATTGTTATCAGGTTAAGTTGATCCCTTTAAATAGGGCTACCTTGTACACTTTACGATGTATCAATGAAACATTCAGCTTCTCCAATTCTTCATGGTATCAGAGACGAACTGATCCCTATCCAGAAAAGTTGAGAGAAAACCAGAGAGTCCCTAACCCAACCGAAAACACCAACCAAACACCATGTCTGATCTTTCAGGTGAAAACACTTCCAAAAGCCCTGAAACAAACCCCTCTCCTGCTGCTATTCCCCAAATAGCACCTCATCATGCTCCTCTAGCTAAAAACCCCTTACTACAAATCACCTCACACAAGCTAAATGGGTAGAACCATCTGCCATGGTCTCATTCTGTCACCATGTTTGTCTGAGGTCGGGCAGATACGCTATCTCTTAGGCACCACTACAGCCCCTGCCAGAATAAGATCCTTCATACCCTACTTGAGAGGCTGAAAACTCCATGTTGATGGCCTGGTTGATCAACTCTATGGAACCAGATATAGGTCGATTATATTTGTTTCTTCCTACTGCCAAAGCCATATGGGAAACCGCTGTCGAAACTTATTCTGATGCTGGTAATGCTGCACATCTATTTGAAGTCACTCAAAGGGTTCACCGAATCAGACAGGGAGAGCTCTCAATCACTCAATACTACAGCATTCTCAAAGGGCTGTGGAAAGAGGCTGATCAGTATCGATAGGTGAAATGGGAGTATGCTGCTGACAGTACATTGTACAACAAGATGCTTGAATAAGAGCGCATCTTTGAGTTTTTGATTGGCCTCAACCGAGACATAGACGATGTATGAGGACGAATAATTGGAAGAGAACCCCTACCTTCTATTCAAGAAGTCTTTGTTGCTGTTCACCGGGAAGAAAGCCGTCGATTCGTGATGATAGGAGGAAACTAGCTCACTCTACCTATTGATAAATCTACATTGGCTATCAACTCTGCTCTAACAACTTAGCAGCATTACAATCGAAGGAGTGACAACAGATGCCCTTGGTGTGACCATTGTCACAAAGTCGGTCATACCAAAGAAACCTGTTGGAAGCTGCACGGTAAAGTAGCGCACCTGAAGAACAATAAGCCAGCCGAGAGCAATAATCTTGCTCTTCATGTCACTGAAGACACCCAGTCTGTTCATTCAAGCTCGCAGACTGGTTCTCAAGACTCAGTCATCTCTAAGGAGCAATGGGATCTTCTTCAAGACTTGATTCAGAAGACCAAAATGCCAGCTGCATCCATTCCTAATCTGTCTTGCTCCTTAGCAGGTATGACAAACAACTCTCGCGACCCTTGGATAATAGATTCAGGCGTGTCTGACCACATGACTGGTGTATCTAATCTGTTTACCTCATATTCCCCTTGTCCGAGTAATATCAAAGTTCGAATAGCCGATAGATCTCTATTAGCCGTAGCAGGAAAAGGAAAAATTCCTATCTCTCAAAATCTTGCTCTTAATTCTGTGTTACATGTTCCCAAACTTACCTGTAACTTGTTTTCAGTTAGCAAATTTACTAAAGACCAAAACTGTGTTGCTAACTTTTATCCTACCTACTATGAGTTTCAGGACTTGATCTCGGGGAAGAGGATTGGTAGTGCTAGGTTGGAGAATGGTCTGTATATTTTGAAGAAGGATCAAGCTTAGATAGACAAGTTCAAGTTGCAAATAAAGCCTCCACTTCTCTTGAAGAAGATAATATCATGTTATGGCATCGTAGATTAGGACATCCCAATTTTCGTTATTTAGCAAAATTGTTTCCTGTTTTATTTTCTAATAAAGATCTTTCTCTATTTCAATATGAGATTTGTGCACTTGCAAAACATCATAGAGCACATTTTCGCTCAAAAATTTATGAAAAATCTTCTCCTTTTAATCTTATTCATAGTGATCTCTAGGGTCCATCCCGTGTTTCAAATATTTCAGGTACAAGATGGTTTATATCTTTTATTGATGATCATACTCGTTTAACATGGACTATTAAAAGACAAATTTGAAACATTTCAGTGCTTTCAAAATTTCTACACCATGATTAAAACCCAATTTGGTGTTCCTATTCAACTTTTTCGAACGGATAATGGTCATGAATATTTCTCTACTATACTCAGTAATTTCTTATCTAAAAAAGGAGTCATTCATCAATCCTCATGTGTCGATAGTCCTCAACAAAATGGTCTCACCGAAAGGAAAAATCGACATCTCTAAGAAGTGGCTAGGGCATTAATGTTCACCTATCAAGTTCCAAAATATCTTTGGGGGGAAGCTGTTTTGACTGCTGCATACTTAATTAATCATATGCCATCTAAAGTTCTCAATTTTCAAACACCCATTCAAATATTTAGAAAATTCTATCCAAATACAAAGTTATTAGACTCTTTACCCCTAAAAACATTTGGTTGGCAAGCCTTCGTCCATATTCACAGTCAATTTCGAAGTAAACTTGATCCTAAGGCCATTAAGTGTGTATTTTTTGGGTACTCTCCTACTAAAAAAGGATACAAGTGTTTTGATCCCATCTCTAAAAAATTCTTTGTGTCAGCCGATGTCACCTTTTTTGAAAATCTTCCTTACTTCTCCAAAACTCCTCTTCAAGGGGAGATAAGTGTTAGAGTAGATGCCCTAGAGCCAATCAATTATTGTAGAATTGACTCTTTGTAATAATGTTCATTAATCAATAATAAAAGGCATTTTATTCTATATCGCGTAAATCATTATTATTGCAATATGTATTGATATATGTCCTTAGAATGGTAGAACCGTGACGAGGGTATCAAGTGTTTCAAATCTTGATAGTGAGAACCCTATGAGCACATATGGTGGCCATTCTAGAAACGTCCGTAGCCCCAGTATTATTCTGAAGTAAGGGCACAGATAATACGGTAAGGCTATCATAGTGTTGAACGACCCTGTCGAAAGGCAGTGACTGATCTCACTTGTCAAGGTTGTTTGGTGACAACCTGGTGCAACACATGGGTGCTTGTTGTAGGCGGATATACCGCAGCAAGTTCACTGGACTGACCCACCAGAGGATTCCATATGGATGGTAACCCCAGTGTCTATGGAACAAATCCTCTAACGAATGGTGGTGCATGTGATCCTTAGACTTGAGATCACCGGAGTGCCTTGTGCACCGATTGGTACAGTTTGACACTAGCCTAACGCAGTTCTATTCAGAGCTGTCAGTACGGTGGTGATTGGCTATATCAAGGAGTGTATCAAGACTATGGTGGATTGACAAAGGATTCATCACTCCCGGGTACGGGAGAAGTTATCTCACGGCGCAATTCAGTATATGGCAATGACACTAAAACTGTGGCCACAGTGGGATTGAGTTGTTGCTCTATCCAGATTATAATACGGGTCATTGGTCCAGAAACTGAATATATAATATCGAGAGTAACCGAAGGTTGACACTATTTCTATGCCTTCGTCTCGTCGAGATAACGTATGATGAAAGGATCGTATTGTACGGTAACCATATCGTTGACAGGTAGCTACTTTGCTGAATCCGAATCTATCGGGTGGCCATGATGCCTTGCTAGGGGCCAATCTTGGTCTGTGTATTAGTGAGACGATTAATTGGTGTTAATCGCGATACTATACACTACCGGTATGATGAGGAGCCTATGGGTCACACACATAGAAGATAATTTAAGAGCCAAGAAGAAAGAAGGGCGTTTTCGTCTTTTTAGGCGAAAGGGTATTTTGGTAATTTCACAGTGCAATTAAATTTGCTGAGGTCGTAGCCTATTATTTAATTTTTTAAAAAATTAAATAAGTGAAATTACGGTTAAATGTGTGTTCGCACATATTTAATTAAATCATCATTATTGTTAAATGTTAATTAAATATTAATTGATTTTAATTAAGATAATGATGAATTAAATTAAAATATCAAATTGGGAGTGTTTGGCAACATGGGGTGTTTGGGTTGGAGCCCAAGCCCATTCCATGTGGGAATAGGGCAACTTGGTTTGCCTATAAAAAGAATAGTGTGTGATTCATTCTTAAATTTTAAAAGAAAACACAGCAGCCCCTTATACACTCTCTCACGCCAATCTCACTGTTTGATTGAAAAATCAAATACTGATCTTCTTCTTGATTTCTTAAGGCCAAGGAGGATCTAGCAAATCCCTCCTTGGTTCTTGGTGGTTGTCTTCGTGTGGACTTCTTGGTTCGATCCTATACTTGGAACGGTAGCAAACACGTTCAGAGACAACATTGGTGGAGCCTCCAAACGTGGGTATGAATCCAAACCTTTGGATTTATTTTTCTGCAGATTCTATAAAATATAAACTGTAATTTTCTATGCCCTGATTTTGGGTTCTAAGGAACGATCCATGGTTGTAATTTTTTTTGTTTTCCGCTGCGCAACCGGGTCGTTTCCTAACAATAAGCTCACAATTCGAATCAGAAGAGAAGTTTTGGGAATCAGAATCAGCGGAATCAGTTCCTAATATCTCTACTCAAATCTCTTCAGTTCCTAATATCTCTCCTCAAATCTCTCCAAATATCTCCCTAGTTCAAAATTCGAATGACATTCAAACTTCTCCATCAATCTCTCTAAACCAAAACTCAAATTCAGATTTTTCAGTGCCTAAAAAAAAATCAGCAAACTAAAAATTCAAAGAATCCTAGGAACTCGGTAGATATTTCTCCAAAAACTCCAAATTTTTTTTTTCCAATCTCGGTGCCAGAAAATCGTAAAGAGGGGGAGGAGTCTAACTGCCCTGAACTTCGTGTTTATACAAGGCAAAAGAATCCTAACAGGATAATGCAGACCTTTCAACCCATACCAATACTGCCCTATCCTTCAGCCGAGATTGAGGAATCAAACGCAACAGGTAATGA